TACCGCAGAATTTTTGTGCCTTTATAGATTCAAATATCTTTTATAGAATGCATACCCAAAATAACATTTTTTGTAATCATTTGGTAGCAAATCGTATCTTCATAATTTATACTAAAAAGAGTTTTCGGTTTAAACAAAGTTATGTTATATTTGAAGGCCGTGAAGTCTCCACTCATTCATTTTTTTACCTTTCCATTTCCCAATGCTGCTTTAAAAATCGACACCGTAGTCCACGTCCACTGCAAAATTTTATGAGCAGCATATAACACCATCTTAATTGTCTATAGGGAGGTACGATTTTCCTTGCATGGAAAATTGACAGCATGGGAATCGGGAAAACGTTTCTAGAACCAAATAGTACCCTTTTAAAGTAGAAAGTGTAAAAGAATGTAATTTACGACCAATTCAGTGCAAAAAATAATATCTTAGGGCATGCTTTCTGTAAAAGTTATTTCAATTTATCAGGGCACTGGAAATAAATGAGAAGAAAGCCGGCTACCAAAATAGCAGTTTTTACTGGGCATCCAAAAAAAAGCCTATTCAAAAGCCTCTCCGAAGCGTTTTAGGGTTATGCTGCATTATAACTAATATCGCAGCACTATTAAAATAATCGTTTAGAAAAGAGGGCTCATTTCAGAATTTGGGTTGAGATTTAACAACCTAGCGAATCTACTGTTTATATATATGTGCAGACATGTTCATGCTTTACATCACCTGTACGATTTTCTCCTTTCTTCGAAATTTAGGCGAAACCTCAAATTCGAAGAATGATGAGGCATCAGATACTCTTGAGAACTCTAAAGGTAAGTGTTCGTCATTCTTTAACTTTCCATTTTAGCCGCCGAAGCATTGTATAAACAAGGCCTGAAGATGCTTTCAGAATCAAGGAACCCTGTAATCGGAGACCCAGCGTAAATTTTGGCATAATTACTCATTCAACTCATATACTTGACGCTTCCCCCATTTTTAATTTCCATATAATTAATAGGTAGCATAGTCGTCAATCCGAACTAATAATTATAAAACACGGTTTCACCATCAATCTAATGATGTAGGTCGCTGGATATCGCAATCGCTCCGGTTTTACACTGAAGTGTTAAGACTTGTCTGTCCATTCTGTATTTACTTACAGCGCGCCCTTTAGAGTTAGAGTGCACATTTCTTTCCACGTAGAAACAGGACATTCGTTTCATCTGACGTGATGATCGCATCTGTAAGTTCGGCACCAGGCCGACTGTTTTGGCGGCATTGTCTTCCGTACATAGAACATTGTTTGATCATATGCTTATACATCCAAACTACCTTTAGCAATTATTTTGTGTCCGAACGGGATTAAGTGTATTCCTATTGGCTTTATAGCTACGATCTTGGTTAGTATCACTACGGGGTTGAAAAATTATTCGCTGCCCATCACATAATGTTTATTCTTGTCTCAATATAGTGTGTGCTTCTTACTGGACGCACAAAATTTTTCCCATCAACCTATAATTTTGTCCTGAGGCTCGCTTTTAAAGTAAGATGGTACATACCTGAATCGGCTTCTATGCCCTTAGAAACCCCCAAGTTTTATCGGCTGTTCCTGTTACAATGGGTAACTCAGTGTTAATTAGAAGCTTGTGCCATGCTATTAAATCCAACTTCCCCAAAAATGCTGTTGGCTTTTTGCTTTGGTCTCTTGCCGAATTATATTCAAGTCGCACTTTTTTTCATAGGGCCTTGAAACACATTAATGAAGCGGCTAAAATGGGCCATGTCAAGGCGCGCGAGTCCATGGCCTTGGCGATGGCGCTTGGTTGGGGGGTTCCCAACTCCCTTGATAAAGCTGTTGCTGAATTTCAAGCTCTGGCTACCGAAGGCAATCCGAGAGCACAACTGGCTCTTGGTTTGATGTACGCTGCGGGCATAAAAGCGAACGTGAGTATCCCACGTGCGCTGATTTACCTGACGTTTGCTGCTTTGGGTGGAGACGAGTTCGCCGAAATGACTATGGTACGTTGTCCTTGTTTTTACTGCAACCTTTTTT